ACGTATTTATACGTTTTACTTATACGTTTTACGTTGACTGGTAGTAGAGCGCGGGACACGTATTAATACGTTTTTTATAGACTAGCGGTAGAATGCGGGTAACGTATAAATACGTAAACTAAAGTTATCATAATTTTACTGAACAGTGCCATTTGCGCAAAAAATTAGCAAAAATGGCCCGCGCCACCTGTTAGCGCACGATAAAAACTACCCGCAAACCATGTGTTAAAATACTAAAACATATACCCATATGTCCACCTAGCTTAAAATTTAGTCTACTTTTCAAGCACAGACTGTTACAGGCAACACCAGACACATCTCCACTTGTGGCACCTTGAGGTGTAGCCCAATGTGTGGAGTCATTGCCCTGTTTTGCCTTCTCCCTGTTCCAAAGGAAATGTCCCCTACCCACCCCACCTTGTGCCATTACCTGTCCTAGCTACAAAATGTTCCACTTTATGATGCACCATGCCTTAATTCTTTAATTCTAAAATGCACATTTTTAACATATTAAAACAATCAATGACATAACCACTGTGGTCCATTTATTGATATCTTATATCTCTGAAATTGGGCTATATCTTACAGTTGAGGAAACATGAAAAGTTAATCAGCTCATATTAATAGGCATATTTTTTTAAATAGATTTTTATTGATTTCAGAGAGAAAAGGAGAGGGGGAGAGATAGAAACATCAATGATGAAAGAGACTCATTGATTGGCTGCCTCCTGCACACCCACCACTGGGGACCGAGCCCACAACCTGGGGCATGTGCCCTTGACCGGAATCAAACCTGGGACCCTTCAGTCTGCAGGCCGATGCTCTATCAACTGAACCAAATCAGCTAGGGTTTAATAGGAATATTTTTATTTAGCTACTTACACACAGTGCTTCAACCAGCATCTTTGTACACATATTCTAGAGATTGGTGAGGAGAACACTTGAATTAAGTGGTTGAGGCCTGCAAAAAAATGCAAACCTGTATTATCTTTGGTTGGGAGCTTATTGCCAGAAGAACCAGAAATGTGGCCTGAGCTAAGACTGGAATATAAAGCTTGGTGGAAAACTGAAGCCACAATTCACTTGTTCACACTAGAACCTGGGCTGCCTCTCCTTATCCCTGTAAACTTCGCTTCTCAAATGGTAGATGTTGGGATTAATGGTCACCATCAGATGCAGAACTCCCCTGTCCACAGAGTTCCAAGCCCAGCATTCCCAGAGGTAGTTCAGCTCCCTGATGTCCAGTCAGAGTGTGGTTACCTCAGGCTACCGCACTGGTCTTCAGGGAAGTTGGGTAGGCCTAGGGCAGGGGTGGGCAAACTTTTTGACTCGAGGGCCACAATGGGTTCTTAAACTGGACCGGAGGGCCGGAACAAAAGCATGGATGGAGTGTTTGTGTGAACTAATATAAATTCAAAGTAAACATCATTACATAAAAGGGTACGGTCTTTTTTTTCAATAGTTTTATTCATTTCAAACGGGCTGGATCCGGCCCGTGGGCCATAGTTTGCCCATGGCTGGCCTAGGGTGAAGGCAGGCCAATTTCCCACCAGTAGTACACTGGTAGGAGCCATGACAATATACTAACTAGTACATAAAAAACCAGTGGTGTGGTTCACTATTCCTCAAAGGTTGCTGTGGGCATTTCGTGCACTGGGGCTTCATGGTTTTTTCCTCATCTGCAACCTAAGTACAGCATTCTAGGTGTGGCCACAGCATAAAAGCGGATGTGTATTCATGTGTTTGGGCAAGACCTTGAAGTCCAAATTGATTAGAACACAGGGTTTACCTACGGAATAAATTTGGGGAACAGGTAAGGGACCTCGAATGATATGTGAGACTTTGAATTTTATTCTGTAGTAGGAAGCTGTTGATGAGTTTCAGCCAAGGGTGTAGGCACGGCCAAAGCAGATCTTTCTAAAGATAATTTGGTGGTAATGTGTTAAATCAGAAACTGTAAAGGGTCTGAGATTTCAACCTTTTTACAAGTTAACCAGAGTAATTCTTCAAGTACCACTGGGCAATGCAGGGAGGGCCAGATGGTACCTGCACATACAGTGGGTGCATGACAGGGGAAGAACACCAAATTGGGCTCCCATCTTATGTAGCTGCTGGTGACCTGCTCATACTTCTCTCTGGAGAAAGACCTTTACTCTAGAATGTAAACAGATCTTCTCTGGGGAGGAGGGGGCAAGATCTTTACGTCTATCACCCTGGAATATTTTAGGAGAGGTCTCTAAGCTTTACTAACCTGGAATGTCTCCTCATATAATGTCTCCTCAGTTGGTGTAAACGCCTGTGCCCAGAGACCCCAGACAGTGCAGGAGTAGAATATATTTATGGAGTATTCTCTCCCAACATGGTGCAGGGTGGATTGGAAAAGCTAGTTAAAAGAGCAAAAAGATCAGCAATTGCAGTATTTTAGGAGTGAGGTGAAAAAGAGCTGCACTAAGGTGTGGCAAAAGTTAAAGTGGGGAAGAAAACTAAGTATAAGAGACTTTCAAGGGGAGAATTGTGTAAGTCAAAGTATCGCTTATACATTGGGAGTGGAGATGATCATGAGGTTTAGAATCTGGCTGATGTATGTAATATTGATAATGTTAACAAAGACAAGAAACACTGATCTGCTTTCTTGTTATTGAAGTTATGCTGTTTCTAGAATTTCATATAAATGAAACTATAAAGTATGTAGTCTTTTATTTAGCATAATTTACTTAATAGTATCCCGATATATGGATATATACCAATTTATTTTTCTGTTTTCCAGTTAATCAACAATTGGGTTGTTTCTAGTTTTTTACTGTTATAAATTGTGCTGTCATGAGTATTTGCTTACAAATCTTTGTTGTGGACATTTATCCTGGGTAAGTGCCTAGAAGTGGGATTCTTTAACTAGAGTAGGAACTGCCAAATAGTTTTCCAAAGTGGCTCTACAATTTTCCATTTCCACCAACAATACTTGAGATTCCAGTTGTTCCACATCCTCACCAGCACTTGCTCTCTCAGCCAGCTTGTGCTATAACAAAAATACCATACAACAGGTGGGGGGAAAAAAAGAAAAGAAAAGAAAACACACAGACATTTAGGACTTCTGGGCAAGATGGTGATATAGGCAAACATAGTATTCACATCCTCCAATAACCGTCATTCAGAGCCACCTGAAATCTGGCTGAATACAACTCTTAGAACTAGAGAATTAAAGAATAAGCCAGACAGAGACTGGTAGGAGGGATGAAGATATGGAACAGGCTCGTTTCACACCCACATGTGGTGGATAAAAATTGGGATGGATATCTCTGAGGTGCAAGGGATACCAGTCCCATCCCAGGACCCCATCCCAGGATTCCAGTGCCAAGAAGAGAAGTCACCATAACTTCTGGCTGTAAAAACCAGGGAGGATTGAGGCTGAGCGAGACAGAGCACTGCTGGAGTCTCAGGCACTTCCTCTTAAAGAACCTGTGTACAGACTTAGTTGGACTCACTCCCTCTGTGCTCTAGTGCTGGGGCAGCAGCCATCTGCAGGGACATATGGGGAGAAACTGCGTTGCCTAGCCTTGGTTCACAGCTGGGCCTCGCCTGGGCACCTCCAAGCTCAGCACAAGTAGCAGCCATCTGCAGATCACTGCAACTCATGCTGGTTGGCCCTGGGAGGACCCAAAGCCAGCGCACCCTGTGGACAGAGTCAGGCTATGTGAAAGCACCACCACCCAACCTCCTCCTCAAGTAACACACTCAAGGGGCAGACTCAGCAGGCACCAAGGCTCTGCTGAAGTAAGTCCTGCTTTGTGGGGTAAAATATTAAATGAAACTTGCATGCTGTTCTCCTGTTATTCTGTCTTATGTGGGTTGATTCTTATGTCAGCTCTAGAGCTTAAGACGGTAGAAAGAAGTTTTTTCCTTCACTATACTATCAAATACTGGAAGGCATAGGGAAGGGAAGGGAAGCAATATAAACTAAGTCATAATTTTCCAGGATGTGCAGTTATAGATAATACCTAAAGACATAGCAGTGTAGCCCTGGCCAGTGTTGCTAAGTGGTTAGAGTCGGCCTGTGCACAGAAGGGTCAGGGGTTTGATTCCCAGGCAAGAGCAGGTACCTGGGTTGCAGGTTGGATCCCCAGCCCGGTTAGGGTGCATGCAGGAGGCAACCAATTGATGTGTCTCTCACACATGGGTACTAGACTTATTGGGGTGATCACCTCGCCTGTAATCCTCAGATGAGGAATAACCAAACAACAAAACAAAAAATTGCTGGAAAAATCCTCCAGTGAGGATTAACCAAAAAAGAAAAGAAAGAAATAGTGTAAGTTATGGAGATAATCCCCAGAACTACAGACAGAAGTGGTTATAAGTGCTAACCTCTGGGAAGTGGTACTGGAAGTGAGCAAGGATTAGTCAGAGACACAATTTTAATGTCATATAAGTGATTGCTTTGGTAAAAAGAAGTGAGAAAAAAAGTAGTAGTATTGACCAGCAACAGAATTTGTTCCAAGAAGCAACATGACAATCAAATATCCCAGTGAATTCTAGTTCATTGGTTTTTGAAACTTTAGTGCAAAGAAATACATCAGCGATTGGGAAATGCTCGGTGTAATTGCAAAGATTTCATTACTTAAAATTTAAAATGTAGCCTGTAAGCATTTAAAACGTTCCTAAGTCTGCCCTTAGGCAGGAAAAATAACTAATTTAACTATGATATAGATATTTGAATGCCACTTTTGTTGAGAGATCTTGGACGTTTTTGTGAAGTGAGACAAAATGAACTGCTGTGAGGTACTTCTCAAAAGTATAATAAATTTGTTAGACTAATCCAGAATTTAGCCTATTTAACATAACATTTAAGCTCTTTCCTTGTGGAAAAATTTCAACTTATTTTCCCCCAAAGAATACACCCCTTATTTTATAGTGCCAATCATTGAAAAATAGCATTTATTATATGAACATTAGCTTTGGATTCATCCATTTCCAAGGTCAGGGACCGCACTCCAGGATAACACCCCATGGGGTTATGTAAGTGTAGTGCTCTGAAGGTACCAACTGGGGTGGGAGGGGGAAGGGATGTTCTCAGGCAGTGCCATGTACTTGAGGTGCCATCCTGGGGTTGTGATGCTAAATTAGAGCATTTTTTATTTTATTTTCTTCTCTCTAGGAAGGCTCTTTTGTCTACTTGTCTTTCATGGGAAACATTGCTGATTCTGATAGCTTCATTGCTTCCTTGTGTAAGTAATTTTAAATATTTACCTTTGAAATGTTTGAGGAGATTTATTCCAAGTGTGACTGTATTAGTACCTGTATCCCATCTTGTATGATTCCATTTATATAAAACTAGAGGCCCAATGCATGAAAATTCGTGCAACAGTAGGCCTTCCTTCCCCCAGCTGCCAGCACCGGCTTCCCTCTGGCACTGGCTTCCCTCTGGCACCCGGGACCTGGGCTGCTTCCCTCCCCCAGCCGCCCGCAGGCACCTGGAACCCGGTCTGGCTTCCCTTGGTCCACCCGCAGCCACCAGGACCCTGGCTGGTTTCCCTCTGGCCCCGGCTTCATCAGGAAGGACATCCGGAATGATGTCCGGAAGACATCCGACCTAATTAGCATATTACCCTTTTATTATTATAGATGTCCAGAGTAGGTGAATCTATGGGAGACAGATTATAAATTAGTGGCTTCCTAGGAGAGGGTGGGGAACGGATGTTGGAGAGAAATGGAGAGTGACTGATAAAAGATACTGATTTCTTCTGGTGGGTAATGAAATACTCTAAAATTAGATTGTGGTGATTCAAATCTGTGAATTTGCTAAAATCCATTTAATTGTACACTTTTTTTTATTTTTTAATTTAAAACAAAATATTTTTTTAATTAAATCTTATTGTTCAGATTATTACATTTGTTCCTCTTTTCCCCCCCACATAACGCCCCTCCTCCCAGTTCCCACCCCACCCTCCGCCCTCACTCCCCACCCACTGTCCTCATCCATAGGTGTATGATTTTTGTCCAGTCTCTTCCCGCATCCCCACAGACCTTGACCCCGAGAATTTTTAGTCCACTCCCTTTCTATGCCCGATTCTATTATATTCACCAGTTTATTCTATTCATCAGATTATTTATTCACTTGATTTTTAGATTCACTTATTGATAGATATGTATTTGTTGTCACTTTGTTGTTCATAATTTTTATCTTTACCTTTTTCTTCTTCTTCCTCTTCTTAAAGAATACCCTTCAGCATTTATTCCAATTATATGAAATATCCAGAACATGTAATTCCACAAAGATATAAAGTACATTAATGTTTACCA